TGAAAGGTTGCAGAACTCAACTGGACATTTAATCCTGAGTTCTTCTCCGAGGAGCACTTCATAAACGATGTTTCGACGCAACACCACAACTGGTGTGCAGATTTCACCTGCAGCACAAAGCATGACAATTGTTTTAAAAAGAAAGAGCTAACTTGGTCACAGAACTATACAGATGTGTAGGTGTTTTTCATGCTGCAGCTGTGTCCACCAAAGTCTGGTTCACCCTGTGTTTCAACCACAGTTTAAGCTTTGCAGCTTTGTATTTTATACTACCTAAAACAAGTTTATTAACTTTTAATTTGGATTAATGACTACTAGAGTGCCGGGATTTTAAATGAAGTTGCTAAGTAAGCTTTCCATGTCCAAGATGTTTAACGATCTACTTGAAATCAGCCTACTTTACTCTTTCTGTTGATAACTTTTTATTGTAAAATTATTTTCATTAACTTTTTATTTTGGTCACACTGGTACCCTCATAAAGTCAGACTATAAAAACAAGTTTGACATCTATTTAGCATTGTTATACTGTGTCATAGATTAAAAAAATGTATTTGGACACGTACTATTTTTAAAAAATCCAACGTAAATGCAAATTAGTATATTAAATAATGCAATATGGCATGAAATACTTGTCACTTAATGTGATTAGAGATTTTTTTTGTGTGTGTATTTGTCCTAAATTTGAAATATTATGGTTGTACGGGAAGTTTTTGGACACATTTTTGCGTTCTATAGCAGTGAAGCTACACAAAACTCTGAAACAAAGGTATGATTAATTTCAGTCACTACATTTAACATTACGAACTGCTGATTAGGGGATTAGTTTGTCTACTTCTATAGAGAAAATCTGTTGGGAATGAGTCTAGATTAATTATTTGTATTTCTATAGAAGTAGCATAAATATAGAAATTACTTACTGTTAGCATCCAGAGAGAAAACATGAACAGCTGAGATTAGAAAAATAACCATAACTTTATATTTGTAGGATTTCATGTTGAGTATTTGAAGACCTTCCACTTCTGTAAAGCCTGGTGTGTGCTGAATTTTGCAGAATCTCACATGTGGTTGACTTGACTTCCTGTTTTTGATTACGGGGGTCTCAGTTCCTCCTCTTAATGATGTTGCACTAAACGTACTTTTTATAAGAAAGGACGTTCTCAACATGCACACTTCTTTTAATCTATGAAGGTTTGAGAAGTTGGGGATTTTAGAGGAAACATTTCTGCTTCCATGGTAACAGGTTGATTTACAGGAAAATCATCACATGTATATTTCTTATAATTAAAATCAAATAGTCACACATTAGGCTTTTTGATTGCACATAGTAATTAATATACATTCTGCATTTCCCAAAGAGTTACAATCAATAATTACAAAAGATTATGAGTCATATATCCAGGTACAGCAGTAAGAAAATGAATCATCAGAAAAATACATTAAACTATTGTCGAAATCTGGTGTAAAGTTTCCCAAGAGTGATTTTAAGTCAAAGAGAGACAACAGCATTGATCGGATTTAACTAGTTCAGCAGGACAAAAAATATTCAGAAGAATAAAATTTGTTTGATTATCAAGAGGCTCTGCTACACTATAAGTACATTTTAATCAAAAGTATAAGTAGCTTTTTAAAAAGCGTAGACGTGTAGTTTTGAACCTTCAGAAAGTAATCTTCAAAGTGCATGCTCAATAATCCAGGTAAAATTTTTTAAAAAGTTCAGTCAGGTCCTCTGGATGGTTCCTTTTTTGTTGAGACGTTTCGTCCTTCATCCAAAGGACTTCATCAGTCCAAGGAGCCACAACAAACTCAGTCTCACAAGCAGCACACTCACATAGTGGACCAACTAGTTTGTTAGTGATAAGCTAGTTTCTAGAGCCCGCCCTCTCCCCTGTCAACTCCTCTCAAGCAGCCATATCCAAAGTGGTTCAAAACATCAAAGTTCATGCTCAATAATGCAGGTAAAAAAATCCTGAAATCCAGGTAAAAATTCATAAAGTACTCATTGAATGTGGTCTTCATCTACGGCTATCTACCCAAAATGGCCGCCACAGCCAAACAACCTTAACAAACACATAAATGGCTACAACTCAGTCACTTTTACAAATACTGAGCTAAAAATTGTTGTATTTGCTGAGAGTTGTCCCCAACACACACTCCAAGCACTAAAAGATTGTTTGACCTCTCGTACGGTAAATTGCGATATTGAGCATAATATTTCACGATTTGACTTTTTTGTCATTTTTCAACATTGAAAGATGATCTTAGTTTACAACTTTGGTGTAAAGGTGGCAACGATATGCTTTACTTTAAGGAATGCTGGACTTTTTGTTTGATTAATGTTTGTTTAGAAAAGACTTGTTGGGAGAACTTGAGCTCTTTGGCCTCAAGGTGTAAAAAAAAAAAATCTTTGTTTTAAAGATATTAAATTTTATAACATCAAAAGATTCAGAGAATCTGGAACAATCAATGTGCGTAAGGGTCAAGGCCGTAAAACTCTAGTGGATGCTCGTGATCTCCGGGCCCTTAAACGTCACTGCACCTCAAACAGGAATGCCACTGTCAAGGAAATAACAGAATGGGCTCAGGAATACTTCCAGAAAGCATTGTCAGTGAACACAATCCACCGTGCCATCCGCCGTTGCCAGCTGAAACTCTACAGTGCAAAGAGGAAGCCATTTCTAAGCAAGCTCCACAAGCTCAGACGTTTGCACTGGGCCAGGGGTCATTTAAAATGGAGTGTGGCAAAATGGAAGACTGTTCTGTGGTCAGATGAGTCACGATTTGAAGTTCTTTATGGAACACTGGGATGCCATGTCATCCGGACCAGAGAGGACAAGGATAGCCCAAGTTGTTATCAATGCTCCTTTCAGAAGCCTGCATCACTGACGGTATGGGGTTGCATGAGCGCTTGTGGCATGGGCAGCTTGCATGTCTGGAAAGGCACCATTAATGCAGAGAACTATGTTCAGGTTCTAGAACAACATATGCTCCCATCTAGATGTCATCTCTTTCAGGGAAGACCCTGCATTTTTCAACACGATAATGCCAGACCACATTCTGCAGCTATCGCAACATCATGGCTACGTAGGAGAAGGATCCGGGTACTAAAATGGCCAGCCTGCAGTCCAGATCTTTCACCTATAGAGAACATTTGGTGCATCATAAAGAGGAAGGTGCGACAAAGAAGGCCCAAGACAATTGAACAGTTAGAGGCCTGTATTAGACATGAATGGGAGAGCATTCCTATTTCTAAACTTGAGAAACTGGTCTCCTCTGTCCCCAGACGTCTGTTGAGTGTTGTAAGAAGAAGGGGGGATGCCACACAGTGGTAAAAATGGACTTGTCCCAACTTTTTTGGGATTTGTTGACGCCATGAAATTTGGAAACAACAGACTTTTCCCTTAAAATGATACATTCTCTCAGTTAAAACTTTTGATCTGTGATTTGTGTTCTATTTTGAATAAAATATTAGACGTTGGCACCTCCACATCATTGCGTTCAGTTTTTATTCACAATTTGTTTAGTGTCCCAACTTTTTTGGAATCCAGTTTGTACATTAACAATCAACAGATGGACTGAGTGAGTACTGACTGAAAAAAATTGTTTTCTGTTGTGGTTACACCTTAGTCAGGGTTCAATATGAGCTGGATCCTGCTGGAACAGGATCCGGGAACGCTCTTATTTTGACAGGGTGCGTTCCTGTAACTGTTTGCTTGGATCCGGTAAATCTCAGGCTTACTTATAATAAAGTTACGAACAAATATGATGGCCTTGAACAAATAAAATTTCTATTGGATATGTAAACTTAAAATAATTACATAAACACTAATTTTAAACACAACAGTCACCTATGAGTTTCTTAATATCACGTCAGAGCTGCCTCTTCAAGTAAGCAGTTCCGCTCCTACCCTTACCCTCTGCTCCTAAAAGTCCAAAGTCATTACGCAATTTTTTTTTTTTACTCAAAAATGTAAACAGCACAACTATATTAAGTTGGTCATTAATAAAAATTGAATTATATGTTAAAAATACAACATGAGAAATGTTTGATGTGTATTATTCACATTACATATCAAAACAACGGCGCTAATTTGTCAAAATAACAGCGATTGAAATGTCAAAAAGGCAGTCCAGTTAACTTTCATTAAAAAAAAGGCTTCTCGTTGTCCTTAGTTGGACAACCGAAAGTTGAAGCAACTGAAGGCAGTGGCAATGGAGATTGGAGCAGGATTGAGCGAGTGGTGGGGGTGAGTGCTGAGTTAACAGGCAGTCGTACAGGAGCAGGATCCCACAGACCGCTGCCATGAACAGATGGAGGAGGCGCCGGGAGGAGTCGGACAACAATGAGGACAGTGAATTCAGCAGTGAAGAGTCGGGCTCTGAACCGTCAAGTGTGGTGGTGGTGGGGGCGGGGTGGTTTAGGATACTTGACACCAAAATGCAGGAAATCTAATCTACTTTATTCAAAATTTTTGGGGGGAGGACCCCAGAACCCCACCCACTATTTGTGTTTCGGCATCGATCGGTTTACAAACTAAGCCCTGACCTTAGTGGGATTGTAAACTTTTGTTTTGCTACACTTTATTGTAACATAGCACCGTGAGGTTAAAGGGGTGTTAAAAATAAAGAGACAAAAACTCTACCGCATCTGTCATAAATTGATAAAGATCATTTTCTGTTTGGGTTCACTTGTATGCGTTTGGAAAGATGTTCTCATCATTGTACTGTTTGCAGAGATTTTAGACGCAGATGGCTTTTTCACTTGATTTGAGCTCATAAATACCAGATTGCATCCCAGAAACACACGTTGAGTCGGTGATGCTGATGCTAAATTGTGTTTAAAGTGAATCCATCCTTGTAGGCACGGTAAAATTCCAGGGGTTTTGTTTGTAGAAAGGATCAGTGTTTCGAAAAATAAAATCTACTAAATCCAGAATTCCTGATGAGAGAGTCCTCCTGAGCTCATCTGAAGGAGAAACACCAGCCCTCTAGTGTGATTTGTCCTAAACCAAATGTATAGCTGCGTACTCCGTCTCCTCCACCATCCTCTGGGGTTGAGGACCAGTCCTTGGTATCTCGTGGTTCAGAGCAGCATACACAACAGAACCACGTTCTTCTGATGGTGCTGCATTCCTCAGTCTGTCTCTGTTCTGTTTCCTCTGGTCATAAAGATGCTCATTGTTTCCTGATGTCTGCTCACTGGGTGTCCTGGGTGTCTTTCGCTCACTGGACCTCCGAGACGGCATCAAGTCGGGGCTTCCTCTTGGCGAGGGCTGCAGGCTGGAGGCATGTGGTCGATCAGCCATGGGGATCTCAATGTACTGTAAAGAATATATTTTAGTTGCATTTCTCATAGCAAACAAAATAGGAAGGAGATAAGGAGTGTGAAAGGTTTGTCTGACTCACCTGATTTTCTGTTTGCGTCTCAGTTTTTGGTTTCCCTGCAAGATAAGCACTTTGGTCAATTTAATTGCGACTGTGTCGTTCTCATAGCAGCTATTTGGTGACATGACGAAAATAATGAATTAACAACTCCTGAAACATCTTACTTTTACACCCTCTTATGGATATGACAGATATAATGATCACCATGACGATGAACGAACCGGTCCCAGCAGCAGAGTACACATACATCATCGTGAGGGCTTTAGAGTCAGATTTGTCAGTATCTGTTTGAAGATAAATACGACTTTATAAATGTAATAGAGACCACAATAACACACATTGTAACAAACAAAATCAGAATAGTTTTTTCCCCCGTCCGGTTGTTCTACACATGTTCATTTATACATTCATGCATATAAAAAAGCTTTTTCTTACTTGAGCCGTTTGTCTTTGCTTTACTTGAATCAGTTGTATTTTGAACATGATCTGTGAAACAAAAACATTCTCATCTTAAGGCTCAGCTTAGACTAAATAAGTCAAACTAAGTGAAATGATATGTTGAACATCCTGATGCATGCTCAATAATCCAGGTAGAAAAATCCAAAAAAGTTCAATCTGGTCCTTT